CCCAAGCCCTCCTAGGGACGCCACAACTGGAAGTGTCTTCTCAGTGTTGGACCAAGAGAGAACGCTTGGGTCACTCACACACAGAGCCTGACTTCTGGATGACACCAACTGTGTGTGTTGGGCAGGCCAGGAAGCTCCTGTGAGAAACAGCTCATCTTCACAGGCAGCTGGATTTTCTTCATCTGTGACTCAGGTCACAGTTCTGAGCCCAGGAGAAATCTAACCAGGGATGACTGAGGCAGCTGAAGAGGAGAGGCTATGACCCTGACCCTTTTTAGTGCAGGGAACAGAGACATGGATGAAGACTTACCCAGATGAAGGGCAGCAACTCTCCCCAGCAGGAGAAGGGACAGGAGCAGGGGGAGTTTCATATCTACTGCTCTTGTGTTGGGCACACAGCTCCACTCTCTCCCTGGAGACGTCCTGTGTCTGCACAGCACCTAGGACATAGCAGAGACACAATGTTTAGCTGCTGATCAAAGACCAAATGCAAGAGCCTCTTCCATCTCCAATGAATAGACCCTGAGCTGAAGAATCAGGAAAAGGACACAAGGGTGACAGCCCCTGACAGTGCCATCTCTGCTCCTGGGGGACACTTGGGCTGGACCCTTGCTCCTGCAGGAACAGGTCTGCTCAGCTCCAGGGTCCACTTCATCCACACTAGGGAAGGAAGTGACCGTTAGTGACCAAGGTGTTTTCCAGATAGGGTCCTGCTTCCTCCTAGGTCCTGGACGCTTCCTCCCTGAGCATCTGAAGTGGGTGGGGAGGAGGGTAGATACTCACCTCCACAGTGTCTGAGACCTCCACTGCTAGTGCTTTGGCTGCTGGGCCCCACCGGTGGCCCTTATACTGGGATTTTGGGGAAGTGGGAAGAGGCCAGGACGATTGTGTCAGGTTGGGGTGAGAAGCAGTGGACCTAATGATAAGATGCTTGCTCAATTCTCTTGCCCTGAGCCTCTCCCTGCTGAGACCACCAGAACCTGCCACCGGCTGTAGATGCCCATGCAGCCTGGTGTGCTGGAGAAGACCCTGATGTCTACAGGCAAACTTATTTTCAGTACCCTTAAGGCATTCTGGCCTGAACACTATCTATCTTCCAGAAACAGCCTCCTCCAGTTAATATCCCTGAAAGTGCACCCCCAAGGGGACCCCCAAGGAAAGGAGAGGAGTGGACCAAGGAGCCTCAGAGTCCTGTGCTTTTCTCCGGGTACCTTCTATATGTCACATCCTGAGTCCTCACCTTCCCTCATCCCCATGAGAGTGATTATCCCTACTGCACAATTGGGAAAATGAGATTCAGAGAGAGAAAGGGACTTGACACATTACACCAGAAGTGGGGAAACTGAGATCTCTAAGTCTTTTTGGCCCCAAAAGTTTTTTGTGCCTTTTCCTCTCTCCTCCCCTTACTCTCTTCCTCTCCCACTCTTCTTCATCTCCCACTCTTTCTCATCTTTGATGTGCAAAACCAGCCTATGCTTTTCTTCTGAACTGTGAATCAAAACCAAGGTTCAAAACCTTTGCAATATGACCATCTAGAGTTAAGTAAAATTTGGCTGTGGGGAGCTCTCTGTGCACTGCAGAAAGTTAAGCTGCTTCCTCGGGCTCTATCCACCAGATGTCAATAACACCCCCCCAGTCACGACCATCAAAATATGTCCACATGCTTCCAAATGCTCTCTGAGGAACACAATCACTCCAACTGAGGAATGCTAGTCTAGAATATGTCCTATTGGCAACCTCAAGGCACATCTTTTAGTAAGAAGGCAAGGAAGGGCTCAAGAGGAAAGCTCTGTGTGGAGTCATGGAGATGTTAGGGCCCCCTTTCCTACCCCCACTCTCCATCTCCCACCAGCCTGCAATCACCACTGTAGGGGGAAGTGAGTGAGGTTTTCTCCTCAAATGCAAAATTGAAGTGAATAACTGAAGAGTTCAGTAGTAAAGATAAGTAATATTTTAATGCAATCTTTCTTAAAAATCACATAAATGCAAAAAATCCACAATGACTATCAAAACTTGAATCAACCAAGTTCCAGTCAAATTCACAGTCAGCAGAGGCTGACTCTGCCAGCGGCCACTGCCAGGAGCTAGTGCTGCCCTCGTTAGTGTGGGCTCTGTGACACCTGGTGCCATATTTGTTCCACGGATTCCACTCCAGGCCTCATGCTCAGAGCACCAGGAACAGGTAGCCCAGAGGTGAAGAGATCTGGCTTCTCCCCCATCCCCTGCTCTCCTGGGGGCCATGAATGAAGAAGTAGCTGAACGGTTTTTTCTGGCCTGATTGCAGAGTAACGGACTTGGCCACTATCTATCTGGTCCAACAGATGAGATACTTGCTTATCTGCTTGACCAGAAGACAGGGTTGACCAATTCCAGTGCTCTCTCTGGATCTCAAGCTTAAGACCCTTCTAGTAGGCCATGGGGCAACCTCACTTTACTTCCTCATCATGGGGTCTACAGGGGTGCAATTGGGCCATGAGTTGGCACCATGGAAAGCTTTCACTTGAACGTCCCTGTTTTACTTGGAATCCAAGAGCTTAAATAAATTGCCTGAGATGACCCAGCAGGTTGGACGCAGTGCTAAGCCCAGGTCTTCCAGCCATCTTTCCTCTGCCTCCTCTCTCTGACCCTCTTTCTATAGCTCACCCCTTCTGACATGGACCCAGTTTTCCTCTCATACAGACCAAGGCAAAGCATTTCCATCACTTCAATGACCTCTTCAATAACCATGGGGATGCCTCTACTTTAAAAGCAGACAGAATATTTTTGAAGGTCCACCAAAGACCAAATGTTCTGCTTTGTTTAGGTGTTTGCATCTATTATCCTACTTACTTGATCTCCACAATCATTCTACATGTTAGCTACTGCTGTCTCTAGTCTATATAACCACTGCAGAAGCTCAGAGCTTAAATGACTTGACCAAGGTCATACAAGAAACAGCCTGTGGGGTTTCTCTGATCCCCACATCTTGCTTTGTTTGATGTACCCACCCCAGTGGGCTCACCCCAAGACAATCTGTTAATGGCCCAACATTTTCAGCATCCCAATACCTCCAAGTCTCTGTTTTAGTGCCTCTGGTTTTGCATTTACATGCCTGTTCTGACTCTTGTCTCAGGATTCAGTCCAGCCTCACAGTAGGGTTGACTCACCATCTTGAGAAGCATCAGTGACCTTCAACAACATAGATTGGAACTTTAGGGTTCACTGATCTACAGGTTCCACATTCTTGGACTCAACCAACCATGCACATGGATCAGTTGAATATGAAGGAACGATCAGATCCAAGCATAAGTTGTACATGGATTTTCCACTGTGTCACTGCTCCAAACCCCACATTGTTCAGGATGTATAACTGTGCATCTGTGTACACACTGTCCAACTGTTAATGAAATCACAAACCCCAGCTTTCTCACCTCAAGTTGTGACTGATGATAGGACCTACCACTCATGAGATCGGCTCCAATAAAGCTCCCAGAACAGTGCCTGGCACAGGAGGTGGGAACTGCGGGAGGATTTGGGGGGGCTGGTGTCAGGAAGCCAGGACTAGGATTGTAGCCCTAATTGACAAATAAGCACAGGGTGCTGGTAAGTGCCAGGTAGGTGCTTTGCACAGTCCGGGACGCCAGGATTTCACCACAAAAAAGCTATATGAGTCCCACAGAGCTTACTTAAGATCTTGTTGGAGAGGGAAAATGTGCACACACAAACACATATTTTAGAAGGACAGGCCAGCCTTCTTATTTTATTCCTTTTACCTTTTACTTGTTTGTGTGTGTGTGTGTGTGTGTGTGTGGACATCCACCATGCCTCCTGTAAAGTAGGGGGCACCATGAAGGAATTTGAACAGAGTGAGTGCATCCAAGTAATGGGGTCAAGGTCAAGATAGCTCAGTCATGCTCCCTCCTGGATGTTAGCCTCCCAAAGAGGATCTCTAGGGACTAAAAGTCCCATGTCTGTCACAACACCCTTCCCCAACAGTGGAGCTTTATGAGGACCCAGACAGTCCAGCCACCATGGAGGGAGGACCCAGGTACCTCATAGATGCCTACTTGGGGGGAGGTTTTTTTGCCTTCTGTTACTAATAGAGGGAGAGTGGAAAGCAGTGCCTTTCCACACCAGAATGCAAAGCCCATGAAGGCAAGGAATGAACTCCGCCCCCACTGCCTCCTCCACGCACCCAGCCCTGGGGCTGAGCCCCTGAGTGTTTCAGAATCTCACCCACTTTGAAATCCACAGATCGGTGCACAGCAGTTACGATGGACCTCAGTTGATCTTTATCTCTTTCTCAACCTACCTTGTAGCCTTGAGCAAGCCACTTCTCCCAGTCAGACCTCACTCCAAAAACTAAGGGTCTTGATTCGCCCACCCTAAGCCCTGGTCCCATCTGCAATTCTCCTATATCAAAGAATCTGAATTGAAAGGGGTTTCAGGGAATCGGCCCTTAATTTCTGCTCACGGAATGCCTTCCTTCCTCACCTCTGAGCAGGACTCCTCATCGCCAGCTGACTGGCAGTCCTGTGTCCCCAGAGGAGCTCCAGAGTAGGGGTTTCTCCTCACTGTGCTCCCACCTCACATGACCGTCTCCTGAAGGGGAGAGTGGCCCCACATTTCCAGCCATGGAATTGTATGAGTTAAGGAACATGTTCTGGAGCAGTCTAAGCTCAACACTGGTCACATGTAGATGCTCAGCCTTGGACAAATCTTTGAATGGGTCCTAAGCCCCCTGAGCCTGGCCCTGTGAAATGACATTGTATGTCCATGTATAGAAGGTCCCTGACAGTTGGGGAACACACAATCAGCAGTAATGATTAGTAGATGCGTGTGTGTCTATATTATAAACAACTAAATGTTCCTGAATGGCAGGGAGCCGTAAGGTGTCTACCTGGGCTGTGTACAGAGTTGGATGTGTGACAGGTTGTCTGATACTGGGCCTCCCTGGTATCAGTGCTAACAAGCTGTCTCCAGCCACTGAGACTTGAGTTCAATCCCCAGCCAGGGAGCTGACCCACACAGCACAGCTGGCCTCTCCTGTCTCCCCGCTGCTCCCCTCAGCAGTGGATTTCATTGGATCTCCCTATTCTGCTCCACACTCTGTCTCTGGTGATTCCTCTCACACCATGCCCCCCCCCACAACTCTGGCCTGAACCCCAGCTGTTGTGTGCATAAATAAAATAAATTAAAAAAAAAAAAACCCTGTCTGATACTGGATTTCACCAGAAACAGGTTATAGTATAAGGGGTTGGGAGACTCAGGGACACTAATAGGGAAGATGTGCAGTCACAATTAAAGGCATGTTGATAGCCCAGCTACCTTGATTCCAGACTGGGTGGAATTCTGAAACGCTCTTGAGCTCAGCCCTGAGCAGGGTGTGTGGAGGAGGCAGCAGGGGCAGACTTCACTCCTTGCCCTCATGGGCTTAACCTTCTGGTGTGGAAAGGCACTGCTTCCCTTATGCCTTTATTAATAACAGAGAATAGCAAAACCTCCCACTTGGATCAATGGGAAGCCTGGGAAACAGTGCTCAACTAATGACTTAGACTTATCCCCCTCAAGGGACAAGAGAACATGTGGAGTTCCCAGTGCTCCTCTGTTCTCAGGGATATTGTCTTGGTGCCCAGAGTTCCCGCTTATCAGCTAGGTGTAGGGTCAGGCAGGGGCCTCTCACCAGGGCAAAAGTCCTGCCATGAGGAGCACCCTGGGAAACCAGTATCTGCTGAAACCAGCAGGCAGCTAGCAGAGTGGAGATAATCTGCTTAGACTGGCAGGAGTAAGGGAGCCCCCCAGGCAACAGCCCCTGGCCACCCCCCAGCTGACACCCCTAATCCCACTCCCCAGGCGTGCACACTCCTCAGTTGCTTGGGCCACCTTTGCACTCAATGCTGGTCAACCTAAGGCTCCTTTGGCTGGGGTGCACGTCACTTCCGTTGTGGCCCCTCGGGGCTTCCCATGGTTGCACTTGCACTTGGAGGGCTCTTTCCCTCATCCCACACAGCTTCGACACTGCCGCCCTGAGAGGTGACACTTACATACACAGTCCTGGCACTGTGGATGTTCCCCAGGGACATGCTTATTTCCCGGGCACAAGACCCCCAATTTACAGATGGCAAAGAAAGCCCTGGGGCAAATGCAAATCCACCGTAAGAGGCTGCAGAGATATGCAGGGAGAGGTAGCTCCAGGTGCTCGGGAATCCTGCTCTATCAAGGGCCCAACAGGCCCATCTCTTGTCCCCAGAAGATCCCCGTGTCTCTAGGTGTCCCCCATCTCCTTGAGGAGGGATAGTGTTTGGGTGCTCCACGTGGGGGCTGAGCAGAATGGACCAGTGGTCAGAGGAGAAATACATCAATTTCAGAAAAAGAATTTTATTGCGGGGGGTGGGAGGAAGGAGCCCCAGGTAGTGGGGAGGAGGCAGCCGTGCAGGAGGGGGCGACCCTAATGTCCTACAGGGTCCAGCTCAGTAGGAACAGATGAAGGGAAGCTGTGTATAACAGTGAGACAGCCGCCACTGGCCTCCTGAAGACAGAACAGGGGGCACTCAGCCTCTTGTTCCCCCCCCCCCCGCCAACTCAGCCCCAGAAGGGCCTCGCCCCCGCCCCACTCCACACCTCAGGGGCATGGAATGTCAATGCCCAGGAGGCAGCTCCCTTGGGAGGGTCAGGCAGTGCTTTCTGGCACCTGCTCTCTCAGCCTCTTCCCCACATGTCCTTCCCATCATTCACCCCCCCCCTCACCTCGGGTACACAGGGTCACACAATGGCCATTATAGATTGCAGGCTGGCCAGGAGCCCAGTATCCAAAATTCCAGGAAGAGTTATCCATCCAGCGAAAACGTCTGCAGTGACCCTAGAGGAGGCAGGAGGGGAAGGTGGAACATGAGGCCAATGGAAGGCAGCCCCTGCCTGGTCCTCCTGTGCCCATCAAGCATCTCCCTTGACTGCTGGACTGGGATGGACACTGTTTGGGCCCATCAGAATGCCCCACAGAAATCATCACTGTCACATCCTACACATCCCAGCGACACAGATATCAAGCGGTCAAGCAGGAGTTGCAATCTCACTCCAGAGATGAGCCAGGCTCAGGGTTGCCCAAATCATGCACAGAGGCTGAGTGACATTATGTCCACGCTGATTTGAAATCCCTGGCTCTCCCCAATGCTTATGCACCTCCTTTGTTGTCTCACCCAGATGCCCATCTATCCCCAGTTTTCCAAGGGATCCCGACAGGAAGAACAGCAAACTGGGGCAAGTTGAGCACCACCCAAGGTTATGGGGTGCCCTCCACTTTGAGCTGGGACCCTCTCACCACTCCTGTGACAAGTCCTCCAATCCAGACTTGGCCATAGTTGAGTCCTCTGATTAAGCACTGGAGATGGTTATTGAAGTTGAAGTTGTGGACGGAGGTGAGTTGGCCCCTATAGCAACATTGGCAAGTATACTGCAGAGCAGAATAAAAGAGGCAGAATTGAGTGCCCTTCCCACAGGAATTCATGTGGCCTTCACCTCGGATCTCTAAGTCTCCAAAGTTCTTCTCCACCCTTCCCTCCCACCACACAATCATGTGAACACTAGAGATCAAAGTATTCTTTGGTTTTGACTGGACCCTCATCCCTTACCCCCAACACCTGGGTGGGTCTCAGTCCTGGATGACACCCCTCATGTCCTCAATGGGGAAGATAACCAGCCACATGGAGGCTAGAGGCCTTTCTCCACCTCAATCCCATCCCCAGACTTCAGCCTCATCCAGGGGCTACTCACCTGAGCGTAATTAAAATTCATCGGCTGTCTCACCAGGAGGTAGCGTTGGTAGGTCTTGTACCCAGGACTTCCCACAAGTTCTACTGTGTCCTCTTTCTTAGGGCACTGAAAGCTTTTGTCCACTGTACCCAGGTCTGAGATTGCCTTAACAGCTCTCTCTTCCTCAAGGGCACATTCACTTCCAGAACCTCCGTCTTCATCTATGGACAGCTGCGTCAGCTCGCCCCCAGGGACCTCCTTTGCCTCGTGTTCTGCTGTCTCCCCATTTTGAGGCTGGCTCTCATCTCCCCCGGGGCTCTCAAAGTTGGGAGTCCCTGAGAAGGAGAAAGAGCAAAGCACCCATCTTCACATCGTCACCTGTTCTCCACAGCACCATGGACAGCTCCCACTAGCCAATGACATCCGCCTGCTCACCTCGGGAAAGAGGAACCTGGAATTAAGCCTCCATGAAGAGAACCCAGTCTCCCACATGAAGTCATAGGGGCTACGAGCGAGGACTCAGAGCCAGGCAAGTGGGGTTTGGGTGCTGGTTCCAACATCTACCAGCTTCATGTCTTAATGTTATGGATATGTAACATAAGGATGCTATGAGGATTAAAGGAGAAAATGCATAGAAAATGTTTAGCCCCCTGCACTCAGTGAGCACAAAGTACTAGGAAGCTACTGCTGTGATCATCATTAGCATGATGTAGAGCAAGGTTGAGAACGTTACTGCCGAGTCAAGACCACAGACATCGAAATGCCCTGTGGACACCCTGTGATTCCCAGCTCTAGAGTCCCTGCCACTTTGTGACTGATAACCAGGGACACTTACTCAGATGAAGAGCAGAAGCTGCCCCGAGCAGAAGAGCCAGCAGGACGGGGAGATTCATCTTGGCTTTGTTCTGCAATGGAGAGCACAAATTTATCAAACACACACACACACACACACACACACACACACACACACTCATGATGAGGGGACTTTGGGAGTGAGGTAGAGAAGGAACTATGAACTGGAAGTCAAGATGGACCAGGTAAGTTAAATGCGAAGCTCAGCCCGGGTGCTCCGGGACACAAGGACCTCTTTTGGAACAGAATAAAGCAAACAACACATAAGCAGCCACGGCTTGTTTTCCTGGAAGCAAAGAAGGAAATACACCTTAATTTACTTGTGTTTAATCAGAACCAAGAGAGGATGCATGGTGGCCTTAAAAACACATGGTACTTAGAACATGTATCCCTCCTTCTACTGCAAACAGCCACAGATACACACACACACACACACACACACGCCCTCCACCTCCATCTTCCCCAGCCCACAAGAGCTTTCCCACACCTCAGAAGAAATATGAAGGAGGACATCCGTCTCCTGCTGACACCACAGTCCTGAAGCCCTAGGCTGTCCCTGCCCTCCAGAACCTCCCAGCCTGGGCCAGGCACATCCCAGGAGGATGAACACAAACCCGGAAGCTGCTCCATGGCAGAGGAAAAGCATTTACCTGCCCAGAAGCCTTCCAGAGTACCAGGGAACTCCGTGAGCTCAGAGCTCATTTTGTTTCCCCCCATGATGGCACTTTATAGGGGTAGATCAGAGGAAGCTCCACAGAGGAAGGTAGGTTGGCCCCAGTCTGAGGAAGTGGAGGGCTGATAAGAGCTGTTTCTTCACTTCCATGGGGAGCCCATTCTTTTGCTTCCAGATTCTCTCCTGACACCCCCTTCAGGAGCCTGCCAGCCACTCTGACACTGCATTGGGTTAAAGCTTCTTCTGCTGGGTTGCACTACTGAATCTCCTATTGAGCTTTTCCAAAACACACAGTTCTCCAGCTTTAATGGTGCAAATGTAAGCTGCTACCGACATTTTGGAAAGAAATGTCAATTTCTTCTAAAATTACCCGTGCAAATATCATTTGCACAATCTCACTCTTTGGAGACAATCTTTTGGAAATGAAAGCACCTAGAAGAATCCTTTTGCAAAGCTGTGTATAGTTTGTGTTTGTAGACATGAACGTCTCCATGAAAAGGAGGCACTGGCTCTAGTATGGACGGATTTGTGGTGACAAGGAAGGGCGGAAGCAGGGCTCTTCTGGGCAGACGCGGCAGCAGGAGTGCAGGTGGAGGGCGATGTCCTTGGCATTGGCAAGGGACAGCATTCTTTCCTTATGGCCAAAGTTAACGGGGTCCACGTAGGGAAGGGGCAGGAAAAACAGGGGACATGCATCCCATCTTGAGACGAGGAATGGCAGCACCCCCCCCCCGTACCCAAGGACTTGCAGAGACCCAGCAGGCATCAAGGAGATAAGTCCACAGGAGCCTGAGAGGGAGGCTCGCTCTGGTGGCTGCTCGTAACCACTCTCTGCCTCCCAGCAAGGCCACTCTGTAGGCTGGACAGACGCGGCAGTCACAGCTGGTTCTTGGCAGTTCTTGGCAGTTGGGCACCCTACTCCCAGGGAAGTCTGCTGTTTGGCTCACACTCTCCAAAGTCTGAAATCCAATCTTAGTGATCCTAGAAATTCCACTTCATTGACCTACAGTGAAGAAGTCAGACACATCTGAGTTGGAATCTAGGGTCTTCCACCTAATAGCTGTATGACCCTGCACAATTCCTTAACTTCTCTGTGCCTCATTATCATGGTTAAAAGACACAAAAACACTGATTGAAAGAGATACCTGCACCCCCCTGGTTATTGCTGCTTTATTTACAATTGAAAAAACATGGAAGCAGCCCAAATGCCCAAAAGTAGATGACTGGAT